TACGTTGTGAATGGTTATAAGTTTCATACAGAGGATTGCTCTAAAAATAAAAATAGCAACAACAGTGGGGTGTGGGTTCAAGGTGGTGATGGCAACCAAGTTGGAGATATTGATTATTATGGTGTGCTCAAAGAAATAATAGAACTAGAATATACAGGTTGGCCATTTAAGGAATTGATAATCTTTAGATGCAAGTGGTTTGACCCAAATCCAACAAGAGGTACAAGAGTACACAATCAATACACCATAATTGAGGTTAATCATACGAGAGAGTATGATCGCTATGATCCTTTCATAATTGCACATAATGTTAGGCACGTGTATTATGCTCCTTATCCATTGCGGCAGAATAAGTCCGATTGGTGGGTTATAATAAATACTAAGCTTGTAGGTAGGGTGGAAGTTGAGAATGTGTTAGGTGTTGCATATCAAAACGGTATCTCCAGTGTTCACCAAATAGTGGACGAACTTTTAGAAAATGATTTGGAACATCCTGAACACATATTGGAAGAAGTTGATATAAATGAAGTAAGAATTATAGAAAATGGGGAAGAAGAATCAATTGATGAAGCTCAAACTAGTAAGGAAGAAGAATTCTCGGACGAGGAACAATACATCGATGAGCTTTAAAAAGTTGGTTTCTTTAATAACTCTCGTTTTATAGCTAGTTTCTTATACGTTTCAATCTAAATATGTATTATATTATGCAGATGACATGCAAGGGTCGAGGTAACAATGACTCTATTGGTTCTTGGGGCCGAGAAAAGGCTAGGAAGGCAAAGAGGAGGGTAGAAAATAATACTACATCTTTTCCACCCTCTTCAGAGATGCCTATGCCTATGCTTAGGTCTTATCCTCCACCCCAGGGCTATTCTGAGCTGCCACAACATCACAAGCCCTATACCTTCGTGCAGACACCAGGTCTTTCATCACAGGGCCATAGGACTATATGTCCAGCATACAATCCAGCTGTCTCACGACCACGTGGATCGCAGCCATTTGCATTGCATGGATCACATCCATCCATGTCACATCCACATGGATCAAATCCATCCATGTCATAGCCATTCGATTCACAGACATCAGTATTACAGCCACTTGCGGTCCATCAAGCTATGTCGCAGTCACAGGGATCGCAACCATCTTCATCAGCGACTCCATCTATTTCAGGCCTTCGCTTGCGAGATAGTAGCTCT